TCCTCAATAGCAGATGCATCAGGTGCAGTAGCATTCAAGCCCTGAAATGATTTAAATATAAAATGGATGCAGTAAACTGAACAAGGAAATGCAGATAGCAGACTGTTTGAGCACCAAAGCTTGATCACAATGGTAAGCGAATAACAGGTAAAGGAACTCACCAGTAAATCATCAGTGTCCAAGTTATTAGGAAAAGGAGCTGGAGGAGGAAAAGGTGCCTCAGTGGTTGAGAGAGCACCATCATCTGAAGGCTGTGGTTTAGCTTCCTCAGATAACTCTTTTGCATCTTCAGAAGGTGAAGGAACATCCTCTTCTCTATATGTCAACTGAAGCCTTTCCGGATATTCCTGATAGACGCATTGCTTCAAATTAGAGTTGTAGATTATATCTTGAAAATTATTATATATTCCGAACATGCTAAAAATGCATATAAAAGACAGTAAAGGTTGGTGTCTGCAAAATAGTGTCGCTATGTTCGGACAAATCAGTATTTCATTCAGAGCTGCTGAGATTACAACTGTAATCCATATACAGCTGTAACAACATATTCTAGGAAACTACCAAATCTGATTAATTTGGTCAAGGGGCAGGATTGTGTGCAATGCTTATGGCTGATGTGTTGTTGCATACAACTCCATAGGAACTTCCAGACTCACTTCCAAATCAACAAAAACCATTCTTGTCGAAAAATAACCCACATAACCTTGAGCCATTTATCTCAATTCATCTTCTGCACTTTATTTGACCATATCTATCCGTTTCACACCTCTCGTGATATGATTCCCTCCAAAAAATGTACAATATCAACTACCAGATATTTGATCACTAAGAGAACCAATTCAATATGCATCAATATAGGTGCTTCCACGCCATGTTCTCACCTTTTCTACGTAACTCTCCCACTTCAGCCTGAGAGAATATCATGCTCTATCTCTTCCGTACAAGAACCTGCCCCCAAATGAACCTTTAAGTACCTAAGAATCTATAGATATCAAAGCTGTGTTTCTCCCATGATGGATCATTAATTGACTGATCACACTAACTAAAACGAAAATTTTGTTCAGTGTGTTTGAAAGTTGTGACTTGAGGTTAGAGTTTTCACTAGGAAAATTAAAAGTAGTGTTTCCAGGGAGTGTATTTGTTATTGCAGAAATCAAACCAATCACAATAAGGATAGAAGTGACAAAAGGTAAAAGNGTTATAGAAGGCTGGAACTCCCAAATGGGTTGCTTGTTTGAGGGTGAGCAGCGGGGTTGACAGGAAATGCTCCCAAACCCGTATCGCCAAAAGGATTTTGTGGGTTCATCAGTAAATTTTGCTGTTGTTGAGGGTGGGGATAAGCAGGTTCGAACGAACCAAAAGGATTACTTTGATGTTGAGACATTGTAGCCATTTGAACAACCGGAGGAGGAGCAATAGTATTGGACAGAGCAAATGGATCGGCAACTTCAAATGGATTGGGAACAGGCGCTCCATATGCTGGTTGCTGATATGCTCTATATGCAGATTCATCGTACAAGCTATTAAGAGTAAGAGAATCCAGTCCACCAGCCTGCCAAGGAAGCATCCAAGAAGAAAAACTATTAACTTCTGGACACGGCGATAAAATTGATTTCTGACTGTTGATTTACCATTAGTATCCAAATCTTTCAAATGCTTGTATACAAAGCCATATACACTGTAAATGCAGTTTCAAGTATTGATTTACTTGAAATGTTTCCTTTTATTAATTTTACAGTTGATAAGTTTTATGGCATGGTTTGGCTTGTTATCCAAAGCATGCCATTTACTTTGGCAGAGTTTCTAATATATTTGTCCTTTGCTTTTGGTTTGATATCCATCTGATCCATACCACATTCCTTTATCTGCGAAACAAATTTTAAGGAAATATTATTGTGGTTCCTTCTTGTTATCGCATTCTATTTCTTCCAACTGAAATAAATTTGTGCATGTCCGGTAAAGATTAAATTATAATTTAACCTGATCAAACATATTTTTTTAACCACAAATTTCGTAGGATACACAACTACTATCCTCTTATTATCAACACATTCCATAAGACTTGCAGTTAATCACTAATAAGCACTCCCAATTATTGATCTTCCACAGCCTAAAGAACTCTCCCTGGCAGTTATGTTCTCTTATATAGACTTATTAGCACGTTTTACGCATCTCTCTCATCATCTTTCTCCCTCCAGTTCCCCTGATTTTATGTGCATGTAATGCACAGTGATTTCTAACTTCACCCTCAGATATGGCATGTGTATATTATATTTCTGCGAAAGAAATCTTGGACATGTGTGGCCAAAGTCAATTGCCTAAAAGATGCTTAAAAGAGCACCATCCATAGGCACAGCTACAGCAATAGAAAACAATTTAATTATTCTATAGAATTAACACAACGTGAAGATGGAAGATATGCAAGGCAGACTGATGTTAATAATTCGCTAGGCTACTAGGTGCAGCAGAACATACTAATTGCCTCTCCTGAACTGAAGATAAGTTGCTACTGGGAGTAGTGACCAGGGCAAGTTCCCATCCAGTAGGGTCAACATCTTTGGATTGTGAAGCACTAGAGTCAAATCTGGCACCTGCAGCATGTGTAAGATATCATAAGATTCTCCTTTTAAAACATGAACGTATAAGTCAAAGAGAAAGGAGCACGTAGAAAATCCTAACCAGTTGGAACTATGGCCAAAGCCAGTGCATTGCTTTCCTCAATAGCAGATGCATCAGGTGCAGTAGCATTCAAGCCCTGAAATGATTTAAATATAAAATGGATGCAGTAAACTGAACA